CGCGTCGCTTGTGTCACCCGATGCCCGTGCTGCGCGCTGCTGCGTGAGACGCGCCCTGCACACAACCTCTCCGCCATTATAAGACAAAAATAATACCACTGACGTGTCAGCCCTCCCCCCCCCCCAACCCTCCCCCAAGCGAATCCACGCCCGTAGAATGGCCGTGAGACAGCCGTAAAGTTGGTGTTGAAAATGCCGTTAAAAAATGCTCCTCCCTCACCCCCCCCCTCTCCAGCCAACCCTCCTTCCCCCGCCAGCCCCACCTGCGTGGCAAAAAATTCCGCAGCCGTAAATGCGTGAGTGACAGCCCGCGAAATGGCGTGAAATGCCCGCAAGACGGTCTTCTTCCACCCCCCGTCCACTGCCCCCCCTGCCCCGCCAGGCCCCCCCCCAGCCCCCCCCCCCCCCCTCCCCGCGACGCGCGCCTCAGCTCGCCGCTTGATCCCCGCCGCCCGCCCAAACCGCACTATACTTGGAGCGAATCGTTCATCTCCTTTTGGCTGGGGGGCCCTAGAGTTGCCACGAAGCCTCAGTGAGGAACCTTCTACAAAAGTGTCTCGCAGAAAATCAGGCGCGCCCCCGCGTGCATGCGAATGCCCACATTTCGCCCTCATGCAACTCGCATTCCCCCCCGCCCCCCCCCCCCCATCCCGGTCGTCGTCGTCCTCCTCCTCCTCCTCGCCCTCATCCTCGCCCTCCTCCTCATCCTCCTAGTCGTCCTCGTCTCCTCCTGCCCCAACTCGGTGTCCTATCGGTTTCGCCATAGGTTGTGCCCGTCGGCGGCCGATAATAACACCGCATCCTATCTGTTGCGCCCTCGGCAGCTGATAATCCCACCAGCCCTCTGGGCGTCGGCGGTGTAGGGCACGTTTGATCGATCTCCTCCTAGATGGCCCCACGGAGCGCCCGGGAGGCGCCAGGAGGTCCCAGGGCGCCCCCAAGACGGCCCCAAGATGCCCCCAAGAGGCCCCCAGGAGACCCCCGAAAGGATCCCGAGCGGGCCAAAGGCCCCCCCCCCCCCCTCTTCCCGAGGCATTCAAGACGCCGACCGACGAGCCCCCCGCGACCGCCAAGAGACCCCCAAGATGCCCCGAGACGCCCAAGAGGTACCCCAAGAGGCTCCGAGAAGCATCCAAGGGGACCTCTGGCTTTTCGCTTGCTTCTCCCCTCCGCCTACTCCTTCACTCCTCCTCCCCCCCACTTCCTCCCCCCCCTCCCCCCCCCATCCCCCCTCCTTCCCCCTTCTCGTCATCCCCCCCCCACACCCCCCCCTCTCTGCCTCCGCCCCCCCCCCCCCCCCCTCCTCCACCCCCCCCCCCCCCCCCCCCCTATCCTCCTCCTCATTATGTGTATCCTCCTTGCCCCTACTCCCGCATCCATCCATCCAATTTTCCCTTTCGACCCCTCTCTCCTTCGCGCGATTCGGCCGCCCCCCTCTTTGCTCCAGCACATCGCCCCTGATCACCTCTCAACTCGCCTGGGCATCTTTTCTGGATGGGCCGGCGGGGGCGCGCGAAGCGTATAGAATAACACCGCCTCCTCTCGGTTGCGCCATAAACTGCGCCCTCGTCGGCTGATAATGAAACCGCCTCCTATCGGTTGCGCCATAAATTGCGCCCATGGCGGGCGCGAGTGAGACCGTCTCCTTGTGCCGTATGTTGCGCCCTCGGCGGCCGAGGGTAAACGCGCCCCCTATCTGTTGTGCCATGTGTTGCACCCTCGCGGGGAACGGTGATAAAACCGTCGCCGATCCGTCGCGCCATGGGCCGCGTCCTTGGGTTTACCTCGCAAGCAACAAATTCGGGCTACGCTTGAACGCAACAGCCTCTGTTCTGTAGCCATTAGTGCTTTTAAGGTCGTCGCCCCAAGCTGCTGGCGCTGTGGCCCGCGCCGCGCCTCTGGAGGCCATGTCTCAAGTTGACCCTCCTGATCTGCCCGGCTCGGTGGCGACGATGGGCGAGGTGATCAGCCTCCGATGGAGCTGAGCCGTGCTAAGCAGGCGAAGCCGATGGCCTCGAGCTCAGCCCCCGCTTCCAAGCCGAGCCTGGTCCGCTTGGGGGGGAAGTCCGATGCGCTGGCGGCGGCCATTCGCATGCCCGGGGTACGCTCGAACCCAGGCCAGCCTGCGACGTCGGCCGCGCATGAGCAGGTGGCGCCAGCCCTCCCGGCGGCGCCTGCCGGCGGTGCCACTCAGGTGGAGACGCCTGATTGCTGCGACTGGAGGTCCGAGGCGCAATTGCACCAGCAGTTCCCCTCCGAGTACGCGTCGCAGCTCGTGAAGATGAAGACCAGGCTGAAGCAGCGCAACGATGGCATCAGCGACGTGCGGCGCTAGTGGGTCAAGCGGCGAGCCCGACGACGACGGTGCCGCCACGCCTTGCGGGGGAACGGCTACCCCAAACGCGTTGGAGATGCTGGAGACGAACCTGACGGAGATCTGTTCCGAGATCGGCCTGCCCCTGGAGAAGGTCGCGTCGGCGTGCGGCCGCGCGCCCCTGTCCGCTCTGATCGCCAAGCTCGCCGAGGGTGCCGAGTTCGAGCGCGGGGATGACGTGAGGCACGAGCTGGACACGTTGGTCCTTTGGGTGGTGGAGGGGGGCGAGATGGCGTCGAGCGCGGCGCCGAGCCCCTGCGCTGCAACCGCAGTCCCGGCTACGCCCCCGACACGGCCCGCCGCGGCCGCGCCCGCGAGCCAGCCGCAGCCGACGACTGTGCCGATGGCTGGGCTCGCGGCCCCGACTACGTTTGCGGGCGCGCCGCTGCCTGGATCGCTTGCGCCATGCGCGACGCTGTCCTTCAGCGAGTTGGGCCGCCAGCCACGGGCCAAGCAGCTTGCTGCGGCCGCGCCGTTGCCCGTCGTCGCGGGGGGGTCCCAGGAGAGCACGCGCAGCGACATGGACGCGGCGCCTGAGTTCCCCGACCCCGATGCCATCGACTCGGCTTTCTGCCCAGGGGAAGCTGGCGCGCCCCCTGACGACGCTGGCTCGGCAGCTGGCGTCGCAAATATGATGGCCACAGATGAGGGGATGGTCGCGCTGCAGGCGAGCTTCTCGTGCATGGAGGCGGGGGGCGGCTCGATTCAAGCCGCTGCGCCCGGAGTGCTCGACCCCTCGGGGTGCGCAGCGGCCGCGGCGGATGCCATCCTCGCAGCAGGGCAGGCAGCGGCAACGGCGTCATCCCAGCCGTCGCCGCCGAAGATGCTTCGCTTGCTTCGGCGAGACGCCCCTTGCCAGCAGCAGACTCAGCAACAGTAGCCACCCCGGCAGATTCAGCAGCAGCAGCCACCCCAGCAGATTCAGCAGCAGCAGCCGCCACAGCAGCAGCAGCCACCCCAGCAGATTCAGCAACATCCAGCACCGCAACCACTGCCCGCCGCTTGCCCTGTAAGCGGAGCCCCAGGCACCTACCGCAACTCGGTGACGGGCCCAGATCTGCATGCAAAGTTCGGCAGGCAGGTCGCGAACGAAGAGATCTTCCCCGTGGGCCTGAGGACCGAGTTGCCCGCCAAGAAGAAGAATGCCGATCTCTTCCACCTTTGGCTCGAGCAGGATCAAGACATGCAGCGCGCAAGTGTGGCCACCCAGAGGCGCCTCGGGAATGAGCAGAAGGGCGAATCCGAGTGCCCCTGGCTCAAGGCTCGGCAGATCGCGGCGCTCGGGATCTACGCGGAGGAGGGCGCGAAGAAGCTCATCGAGAAAAGTTGAAGGAGAAACAATGCTTGAGAGATGGCGAGTTTCCAGAGAAAGACGACGAGAACTACTACTATGTCCGCAATGCCCTCAAGAATACGAAGACGACCAAGCAGATAGATTCCGTGAGTGTCTCCCACGCGACCTAGACGGACAAGCGCGGGCTGCAGGCGCTCATCGGTGAGGGCGGGGCCCTGGGCGCCGACGTGCAGGTCCACGTCGGGGGCGCCAGCAGCGTCGACGCGTTCGACCTCAGCAGCGCGGCGCCCGGCAAGAAGCAGCCGCCCCCGACGGGCGTGGGGCAGTCCACGGCGGACGTTGTGGCATCGGTGGCGCCCTTGCAGAAGTGCCTCGAGATGATGAAGGACCTGAGCAAGCAGAGGGGCAATGCCGAACGCTTGGCGTTCGAGCGGGGGGCCTTCAAGCTGAGCGCCGAGATGGAGAAGCAAGTGGGAGCCCACGCGCCCCGCGCGAAGGTGGCGGGTCGCGCCGGCGATCCCTATGAGCCAACTCCTGGGGAGAGAACGAGCGAGGAGAGAGGGGGGATGAGGGTGAAAGGAGGGGAGAAAGCGGAGGATGGAGATCGGGGGGCGGAGGAAGTACCCACTATGGCGTACCCATCTGGGCCTGAATGAGTCTCCTTAATCTGGTTCCTCAATACTATGGCGTACCCGACCCCATCGTCACTATAGCTTGAATCTGGCTCAATAGGGCACCTCGTGATCAATGCTATGGTGCGCCCGACCCCGTCGTCACTAAGATCTGGCTCCTGAATCTGGCTCCTCCTTAATATTGATTGCCCGACCCCATCGTCGCTATGGTTTAAATATGGCTCAATATGGCCCCCCATGATCGGCACTATGGTGTGCCCGACCCTGTCGTCACTAAGGTCTGGCTCCTGCTGAATCTGACTCCTCAATATTATGGCGTGCCCGGCCCCATCGTCACCTTGAATGTGATTCCTGGCTCCTGAATATGGTTCCTGGCTCCTGAATATGTATATATGTATGTATGTGTGTCTGTATGTATGTATACATATATATATATATATATAGATGCGTGTATATGTACATATATATGGCGCACTCAACCCAATGCCACTAGCATATTTACTCGCCACTTTGTTCTCGGCAGGGGGGCCGGAGTCCACGCCTATAGGCAGCCTGGGCGCTCGCCAACAAGCTCGTTGAGGCGGCCCAGACGGCGCCCCTCAACGAGCGCGCCTTTGAGGCGCTAAACCTCAAAGTCACGTGGTGGACGATGTGGTTCGATGAGAGGCACGACGCTGGCAAGACCATGGTCAACAATCCCGAACAAACGCAAGCGGGAGGCAGCCACGAAGCAGACGCCCGAGGGTGGCGGTCGCGGCGGCGGTAGGGGCCGCGGCGGCAGCAGAGGCAAGCAGGCCAGAACGTGGGTGCAAGCTGCACGGGGTGTAGCACTAATGGTTCGACGCGGTGTCGAGCCTCACTTTTGAAGGGGGCCCTGGGAGGGCGGGGTAGAAAGACGGGGGATAGGGAACGCGATGGGATAGGCAGAAACGCCCAGGAGGGATGATGTACGATACACTGTATCCTTCACTCGCGAATGTGATCGCGCGAGATTGTACGATCCGCGGGGCTCCTATGGACGCTCGTGCTGGCGCCAAAATCCGCTGCGACCGCCCCTTTTGGCGCGCTCCCCGGCCCCCCGAGACATCTAGGATCCGCGAGTGCCCGCCTGCAGGCCCTTGACAAGCTCACTTGACATCGGGTTCTCTGGTCGGAAAGGGGCGCGGCATAAAAGGGGCGCGGTGCCAATCGTGGAAATGTCGACGCCATCTGCAATAACTAACATCACCAGAGTCTCTTTTACATGCAATTAACACCACACCCCTTTATACCATACCCCTTTCCTATACCAGGGCTTCGGGCCTCAGGGGGCCTTCCCTGCATGGGGGGCCGGGGCCGACGTCCTCCAGCACCTGACTTGGCTCCTCGGCGACGTCGTCCTCTTGCTGTCGCTCCTCCTCCCCCTCCTCCTCCTCCTCCTCCTTTTCTTTTTCATTCTCCTCCTTCCTAGGCTCCTCCTCCACCTCCTCCTCCTGTTCCTCCTTTCCCCCGTCCACCTCCGCGTCCTCTGCCTCCTTCCCCTTCGCCCCCGCTTCCTACCCCCCCTCTCCGCCCCCGTCGCCCCCCCCTGCCCTCCAAGCGCCCTCGCGTCTGCCCACCCCTCTCCGCCCGTCGGCTGCCGCCAGGCACTCGTGACAGATTGGGCCGAGCAGCTCATCCAGGCGATGCTGCAAGGGCGCCCGTTTCGGGCATGCCGCGCAGGGCGAGGGGAACAGCGGGGTGGAGGATCGGAGGGGGGGGGCAGGGGGGGTAGGGGGTTGAGAGGAGTAGCAGAGAGGAGGGTCGGGCGCGGGGGACAGGCTGGAGAGAAAAGGGCGAGGGGGGCGCGCAGTGCGGCGCGGGCGAGGGGGGGCAGGAGAAACGCTACAAGGCCGAGACAAAGAGGAGGATCAGGGATACAGGGCAGAGACACAGTTGTTGGGGAGGAGGAGGAGGAGGAGGAATAAGAGAAAGAGGCGGGGGAGGAGGAGGAGGAGGAGGAGGGGGGGGGGGAGGGGGAGGGGGAGCAGAAGGGATAGAAGGCAGAGACCAAGATGAAGAGGATGAGACAGAGAGCTCCAAGTACCATACTATCCAATCGTTGCTCGAGTGCCGGTGCTTTCCCCGCGTGCGCGCCCGCGTGCAAATCGAGATCCCCTGTTGAACAGCGCCGCCATATCCAGAGTGAGAACGTCTCCCAGTGGGGGCCGTTCTCCCGGAGGCCGTTCTTGTGTTCGGCGCGTTCCTCTCCGGGACTTGCCAGCGAGTCGCGCCGTTGAGGAGATGCTGCGCGCCGCGGGGGGCAGGCGCTTCAGCGCCAGAGACCCAAGCCCGTCTGGCAAGGGAGATGGTCGCAGATGGCGTCGACATTCCAGCAATCAGATCGTTTGCGAGTCGTGGAACCCATGGTGTGTGCCCCTCGAATATAGAACGTGAGTTGTTAACGTGGGCGCGAGGTTTCTGCGGGCACTGCAGGTGGGAGATTGACGCATGCGATGTCAAATTGCAGCTGCTCATGGAGGACGAATACTTGCCCTCTGAAGCGACAGCGCCCTGTCTTGTACCCCGCGAGGCGCCATCGCGCACCTCGTGAACCTACCATTTCAATTGCGCACAGTGGGGTAGCAGGTGGTAGAAGCACAGGAGGGGCGAGGAGGAGGGGGGGGAGGGGGGGGAGGAGAAGGAGGAAGGTGGGCGGGCAGCGGGAGGGCGGGGAGGGGGATGTGGGGGTCGCGAAAAGGCGCTGCATTCCTTGCACGCTGCCGGCCACCAGTAGTTCATCACCTTTCGTGAAGGACCCGATGGCTCCGACGGCCTGGTGGAATATTGGGAGTGGGCCGCCAGTCAGTCCCGGGGGCGAGGCCATCCTGCTCTTGTCGGCGCGGGGCGCGAGGAGTGGGCGCGTTAGTTTCCCATCGTGTTGCGCCTGGATGGGGCAGAGGCGGGGGCCGGCCCCATGGGGGAACATGAAGTGTTCAGGACGGACCCCTGGTCACGTCTCGGGGTGGTTGCGTTTGCATTTTCCCATTTCTAACAGAGGTTCCACAAGACTGGCC